TTACGATATCAACAAGATCTTCCCTTTCTATATTTTTTTTTAACTGTGACGGGTGGTAAGGGAAGGTTGTATAAGTGAGGCTATGGTGGTCCCGTTCAGATTTATAGCCTAAATTACTAATAAATCTTGATGTTATTTTTATGTTTTTTTAACCACGTGATCTTTAAAACGGTTGTGAGGGGTTTGTGGTTTATAGTAAAAATTAAGATATATGCAGGTAGCGACTAGAGTAAGCCTAGGACTACTGAAGCATTTTCACCGTCACATTACCAAACCTTCATGTCATCAGTCATGGCGGCTTTGTTTACATTTATCTGTAGCAAATTGTATTAATTCTAATTAGTCTGAAGTCTGAGTCTTGCAATATATTGCAGGAGAGTTGATCAATATTCAGTGTATCGTTTAAGTTTATCCTATATAATAATGAAATTATAAATATTTAAAACAATCCTAATAGCAAAATGCCACCTGACAAGAGACGTTTTTTATTATGGAAAGCTGTCTTAGTGTGATTCAAAGCTGTTTATCGAATTCTAACGTGGTGGTAAAGCTTCACAGAAAGGTATACAGCAGTATGACGTGTAGCAAGGATGGAGGCGACCAACCACGTGGAGATAGAGACCCGAAGGTGTAGCAGCAGCAGCATCAGCGCTCCTCCGCCCACACAAGGTCCCCGTTTTATAATGTGTATTTATACTGGCCATATTGAGTGTGTGTAAAGGTCAGACAACACTCTCCAGTGACACACTGGCGTACCTCTGACCCTACTACACCTTCACATCTGCCCATAAAACTCAACTGATTGTCTTAAAGAAATTAATAAATCAACTACCTTCAACAACGAGAACTTCAATAAAAAAACATTTAAGTTGGTCTTAACTAATATCGCCGACTCGTCGAAGGACCTTTATAATTAGTAATAGTAAGATTAAGACGAACCCTAAGATTACGTACTATGGCCTCATTTGGTGAATTCTTAATATGGAATGCGGTAATAATGTTCCGTGGTGTCTTTCTTTTTTGTATATAAGAGTTTTAAGTGCTTTCGGAGTAAGGTAACACGTGGGGCGCTGTGCTCGCCTCATCAGTCAAGCGACCTCGGCCTGCATTCCTTTTCCCTTTTCAATAAATCTGGTTTTCTTTATTGCCATTTGTTAACTTTTGTAGTGCCATAGTGAACTTTATATTAGTCATATGAAACCATTTGATACGGTTCATCATATTAGATTTCTTTCCAAAATAAGAGTACATGGTATACGGTTGAGTGGTCAACTGGTCCAACCCAGCGTTTAGGGCTAGCAGGAAGGGCGTGTACGACCGGCCAGATGGTACAAAGAGCCTGCCAGATGGTACAAAGGAGCCTGCCGGATGGTACAAGGAGCCTGCCGGATGGTACAAGGAGCCTGCCGGATGGTACAAGGAGCCTGCCGGATGGTACAAGGAGCCTGCCGGATGGTACAAGGAGCCTGCCGGATAGTACAAGGAGCCTGCCGGATGGTACAAGGAGCCTGCCGGATGGTACAAGGAGCCTGCCGGATGGTACAAGGAGCCTGCCGGATGGTACAAGGAGCCTGCCGGACGGTACAAGGAGCCTGCCGGATGGTACAAGGAGACTGCCGGATGGTACAAGGAGCCGGCCTCATGGAGGCCTGTCAGTTCAATTTTATCCTTGATTTGCATAAATGACATATTTAATCGGTAATACTTCGTGATATTACAACACTTATTGTGAATTATATGATGAAAAGATAAATTATATTATATAATTTAATATATGTATTAAATATATAATATATTTTTATTATTTAATACATCTAATATATTAAATAATATATATATTATTTATTATATATACAACCTTTTTCAGCCATCAGTTAATATTTTTTTTGCGGGATTTTTGGACGATATGAAGCAGCTCTAATTTATCTCCACCCGAATTCATTCATAGATGTGTCTAACCTTACACACTAAAAACAAATAAGAATTAAGGAAATTGTAGAAGTTAATGTGCTCCAAGCAACAGCCTAGTGGATCAAACTCTCACAAGTCAAGCCTGGCCTCGGGCCGGGCTTGGGGGAGTAGAAGAACTCCCAGAACCCCATCAACCAGGTATCACATAATTAGGAAGCAAAGACCAATAATGTGACTTGAAGCCGACTCAAAGACCCGTCAATTGGTCATGATGAATAGCAGGCGAAGTTTAATTTTGATAAATGTAAAATAAGTATTGTGCTAAGGGTGTTAATATTAGGCTTCACTGTGAGATCATTCCGGTAGCGATGCGAGTACGGCATCCTCATCCTATACAGTGCACCAGTACACTTGTTCTGGACTATTATACATGCAGGTCTGGTACCGTACTTGCAAATGGACATTGACAAATTAAAAGGTATTCAGCGCCGAGGAACCATACTGTCAAGACTTGGAATTCAATCCTATAAAACCTGTTTTGAAGAATTGAATATATTTAGTCTCGTAAGAATAAGAAAATGAGGTGATTTAATTCGTTTAATATAAGTATTATTATTTAATCTTATCAAATGGCATCACAATCTTGATATTGCAAAAGAAAGCATGACGCGCAAAAGTGATTTTACAGTCATAGATAAACAATTTGACTTCAACGAGGTAAAATACTTTCTCTTTTATCAAGTAGCAAACACTTGGAACATCTTACCACGTGATCAATTTCAGAGTAATACCGTGAATGTATTTAAAAAATAGATTAGACAGTTACTTCTCTTCAAATCCGCGGCTTACGATGCTTCTACAGTCACAAGATTACATAATCATGCTGCCTTGTCTGGTTATAATGGGTTGTTGCGCAGTTCTATTTCCAACTCCACCCACGCCCCGTCATCACAACACAATACACTTACTGTGAGATGCTCCACACACAGTTGACTTTGGTTATGAACCATGTTCAGTACTAAAGTATATTTACTGGTCAGCCAGTTATCTATTGCGGTGGCCATCGCCAGCTTTGGTTATGTCTAACCACACGGATTGGTCGGTACTACGTCGGCCTCACTTGGAAGGTCGGCGTTCGATCCCTGATGGCCCACAAGCTGGGGTCCGTTCCTGCACTCTGCTTATCCTATGTTCTGTAAGGGGGATAGAAATAGCCTAAGCTACTCTATCCCTTTGAGATGTATTTCTTTCTTATCTCAAAAAACATACTTGAACTTGAATGTTCTGTAGCACAGCGTTGAAAAGGCACAATCTGGACAGAAATGGTTGGGAAAGTTTCATTTCACCTGATGCTTCTGTTCACCTAGAAGTAAATAGATACCCGGGAGTTACGCAACTGTTGTGGGCTGCATCCTTGGGGTGGGCAGTAGATCGATCTATGGGAACCTCGATATAAACCTAAGAACAGGCTTCCTGTCCCCGAAAAGGGGAATTATTATTATATTCCAGTTCCTTTTTCTAATATCCCCTCCAGGTGCTACTTAGTCATCTTAGCTTAGGTTAGGTTTCTCCTGATTATTTTCTTACTTTTGTTAGGTCTTCCAGTGTAGTTAGACGGAACCTTCTTGACCTGTTTTTCATAGCTGTAGACCTTTGTTTTTGGCAGCAATTTTATGTATGTATGAATGAACGAATGTATGTATGTATGTATGAATGTATGTATGTATGTATGTATGAATGTGTGTATTCACCTAGTTGTGTTTGCGGGGGTTGAGCTTTGCTCTTTCGGTCCGCCTCTCAACCGTCAATCAACTGTTAACTAACTTTTTTTTTCTCCACACCACACATGCACACACACCCCAGGAAGCAGCCCGTGACAGCTGACTAACACCCAGGTACCTATTTACTGCTAGGTGAACAGGGGCAATCAGGGTGAAAGAAACTTTGCCCATTTGTTTCTGCCTGGTGCGGGAATTGAACCCGCGCCGCAGAATTACGAGTCCTGCGCGCTATTCACCAGCCCCCCCCCCCACACACAGACGTGTGTGTGTGTGTGTGTGTGTGTGTGTGTGTGTGTGTGTGTGTGTGTGTGTGTGTGTGTGTGTGTGTGCTCCTAATTGTGCCTCCGGTGGCTGAACCTCACCGGACGACCAAAGGTTGAAGACGTTAGACGATGGGTGAAATTTCCAAGTTTATCTACTTATTAAGCTGTGTGTGGAGTCTGCCTCCATCACTTTACTTATTAGCTTTCTGTTTATTCAGTACCCTGAAACTAAACAAAATATTGTCTCAGGAGCTCATCTGGGTTCCTATCTTTATATACTTTTTCATGTATATCATATATATATATATATATACACATGTCATGTCATAGTTTGAATGTGGTGATCATGTCTCCTCTATTTTCTTTTTTTTCCAGCGACTTGAGGACAGTTATTTTGGACTTCCTTTTAACTCATATCTCTCAGCTCTGGAACTTGTCTGACAGCATGCCTCCGAACTTTCTCCATCTTTGTTCTGGACTCCATTTACAGCTGATTTGCGTCTAATAATTACCTAATTGTGCTTACTTAATTGTGTTTGCGGGGGTGGGGTGGGGGGTTGAGCTTCGGCTCTTACATCTCGCCTCTCAAGTGTTAATCAAATTGTGTACCGGTTCATATCTATATTTGAAACTGTGTATGGAGTCTGCCTCCACCACCATATCACTTCCCGGTGTATTTCATTTGTTAACTACCCTGACTGAAACATTCATGTTTCTATGGCTCATTTGTGTGTGTGTGTTATTAAATCAACATTCTCTTACAATTACAAAAATTTAAATTTACCTCCGAAGACAATATATTTTGCGGCGCCTACAGTTAGGCTGAAAATCGGAAAGTGCATCTTTAATATTGAATTGGTTTAAGACGTGATTACTTAGTTTAAACTCAAACAGAACCCCCCCTCAGTAGAAATCAGAGAAATCGATTTGATCATTCCTTGCCCAAATTGGGAATTCCAAGACGCTGAATGAAACCCCTTGAGATTTACGGTACGAGATCCTCCGTGGCGGCGCCGGCATCGTGGGTACGGACGGCCGAGCACACGAGCGTCAGAAGCGTCGATAAGGGGATGGAAAGAGGTCATCTACGCCTCTGCTCCGCTGCCCCCACCGTAACACCAAACGCCTTGAACGATCATTTTTTTCCGTTGTGACCAATCTACGAATATCTCTTGAGCGGTAAACAGTGCTAACGGAGCCTTGGAGAGGCGACCCCCGAGGTAGTTCATGCGTGGCGATCAGTTATCGATAGCGAAGTGTTGAAGCACCTGAAAATCGGTGAAGTTTAAATGCCATAAGAGAAGATTGTTGCCAGATTGCCGTGTAATTCATCCCCTCACCCCCCTTCCTCCTCCCCCTTTGCTTATACCAGTTGCCACGGTGCCATGTGCTGCGGCGACCTCCAGTGTGGGCCAGCGATCATGCCGTGACAGGAACTCAGAACTATGGCCGCTAGAACATGTTAAAGAGAGGACTGAAGGTTGGATGATGACCGGTGAATGTAGCCTTGAACACTCGCCCCAGCCCCCACACGGTGAAGGTAGCCTTGAAGAACACCCTCAAGACGGTGAAGGTAGTCTTGAAGAACACCCTCAAGACGGTGAAGGTAGCCTTGAAGAACACCCTCAAGACGGTGAAGGTAGTCTTGAAGAACACCCTCAAGACGGTGAAGGTAGCCTTGAAGAACAGCCGTGTATGTGTGAAGAACACACTGAAGGTACACGTGAAAAACACGCCACACGGTGAAGGTAGCCTCGAAGAACAACCCTCCACACGGTGATCATAACCTTGAAGAACACTTCACACTTACAAGTACCTTTTTAAGAAACTCCAACGAACCTTCTGTCAAGGTGCCACTACTCTTCCCCCCTCTCTCCCCCCTGGGTACGTGTCGGTATCAGACTACATCCTGTGTACATGTGTAAATACCCCTTGTACACCCTGAGTAACTCAGTACCACGCTACTGAGTAACTGGCAGTAGCACGCTACGCCCTGAGTAACTGGCAGTAGCACGCTACGCCCTGAGTAACTGGCAGTAGCACGCTACGCCCTGAGTAACTGGCAGTAGCACGCTACGCCCTGAGTAACTGGCAGTAGCACGCTACGCCCTGAGTAACTGGCAGTAGCACGCTACGCCCTGAGTAACTGGCAGTAGCACGCTACGCCCTGAGTAACTGGCAGTAGCACGCTACGCCCTGAGTAACTGGCAGTAGCACGCTACACCCTGAGTAACTGGCAGTAGCACGCTACGCCCTGAGTAACTGGCAGTAGCACGCTACGCCCTGAGTAACTGTCAGTACCACGCTACGCCCTGAGTAACTGGCAGTAGCACGCTACGCCCTGAGTAACTGGCAGTAGCACGCTACGCCCTGAGTAACTGGCAGTAGCACGCTACGCCCTGAGTAACTGGCAGTAGCACGCTACGCCCTGAGTAACTGGCAGTAGCACGCTACACCCTGAGTAACTGGCAGTAGCACGCTACGCCCTGAGTAACTGGCAGTAGCACGCTACGCCCTGAGTAACTGTCAGTACCACGCTACGCCCTGAGTAACTGGCAGTAGCACGCTACGCCCTGAGTAACTGGCAGTAGCACGCTACGCCCTGAGTAACTGGCAGTAGCACGCTACGCCCTGAGTAACTGTCAGTAGCACGCTACACCCTGAATATCTCTCAAGTGCTACGCTACATCCTGTGTGTGTGTACCTGTGATCGTACCACACGACTCCCTGGTGTACCTCCAGTACAGTACAACGCTACACCTGGTGTACCTGTGTTGTACTACACCCTGTGTGTGTGTCCCAAGCATCAAAGTGCCTTGTGAAGACGCATAATAACTGTGACACCACCGACTTCTTCCACGGTGAGAAATCCACTAAACTGTGAGCCGTGATATATATAATCTACGGTGAACGATGTGCTGACTATGGTTAACTGTGCACAACTGTGACTTACGGTTAAGTGGGGGTAGTATTGACTACGGTGCTCTACGGGACAGAGATATTTAATACGTATCACCAAAGTGCAAAACGGACGCTGGGGGGAAAAAAAATTTATTAATCCGACTCGGGTTATCAAAGCCGTTTGGCCTTTGAGCGGTGTGCGTTATCTGTGGCGTTGGTGGGGGGCGGGGGTGTCCCACAGCCCACAGAAGGGATCATGAGGAGTGTAGGCGCGGGCGTGGTGTTGCTGGACGCCCATAAAGGCTTCTTAGACCTCACCCAAGACGCCCTCGAGAAACTCATCAGCCGGGAACCCATCTCTGCCCACTATGATGTGGAGCAGACGCCGTTTGCAAGGTAAATAAATATATTGGGATGTTGGGATTGACATGTTGGGATGATGGGATTAAATGGTAGTGTTGTTGGGAAGGTGTTGGGTTGGGGGGGGGGTAGGGGGGTTAGGAGATTAAATCTCTCGCTGATATTTTCTTTTTCTGTGTTGATGCTTGTGTGTGGCGGCAGTGGGCAACCCTCGCTGCAATGTTGCCCACTGTGGGTGTCTTGTCACGACTTATTTGGTATGGAATACTCCACTATTCTTCTATATATATATACACTTGCAGTATTCTTTTCAATCACTTTTTTATCTACATTTTGTAGCTAAGTTTAATACAGTTTTATGTGTTTTCCGTGATTGAGCAAGACTTGGCCATGTGCGTACAGCACTCCAAAAAAAAAAAGACCTCCAAATCTTAAATATAATTATTAAGACTTAGCTGCCTAATAGGCGACTTCGTTTATATTTAAAGTAACTATCAAGTTTTCTCAGTTAGCCTTGAAAACTGTGCGTAAAACATTTAATTGGAGTAAATGACATTCATTCTGTGTGATTATGCGCTTGTGTGTCAATGAAGGGTTGCTTCTCTTAGCGTGTTGCATGGAAGCGGGCTGATTTGCTAAGTCATTGCACTCTACATGTTTGTGTATGCATAGGAGAAATGCATTGTCTCTCCAACGCTTGGGACAGGAATTTATGTTGGCATTTTAACAGAGGGGGAAGGAAAACTGTTATGCAATAAAACTATAATATATATAATATATATATATAATATATATATATATGTCGTACCTAGTAGCCAGAACGCACTTCTCAGCCTACTATGCAAGGCCCGATTTGCCTAATAAGCCAAGTTTTCATGAATTAATTGTTTTTCGACTACCTAACCTACCTAACCTAACCTAACCTAACTTTTTCGGCTACCTAACCTAACCTAACCTATAAAGATAGGTTAGGTTAGGTAGGGTTGGTTAGGTTCGGTCATATATCTACGTTAATTTTAACTCCAATAAAAAAATATTGACCTCATACATAATGAAATGGGTAGCTTTATCATTTCATAAGAAAAAAATTTGAGAAAATATATTAATTCAGGAAAACTTGGCTTATTAGGCAAATCGGGCCTTGCATAGTAGGCTGAGAAGTGCGCTCTGGCTACTAGGTACGACATATATATATATATATATATATATATATATATATATATATATATATATATATATATATATATATATATATATATATGTGTATATCACGAAAATAAACACGTGATTAAGAATGTGACAATGTCACATATAGTGACAATGTCACTATATGTATAAACCATATATATATATATATAATGTTGAATATGACCGGAAGGGTAAGATTAATGATTCTAACACGAATCTTCTCAATATTAACATTAATCTTAGCCTTTCGGTCATATTCAACAACATATTTTTACTAGAAAGACTGCTACCAAAATATAATATATATATAATATGATATGATATGAAAATATTTTCAACAGTTTGCTGAATATAAAACCATTTATTTTACAATATTATAAACCTGCATGTTGCCTTGTTTAAAATGTTAAGAAGCCACACACATTCGTCAACTGAATGTGATGACCAGACGTTTGTCGTCGTCTATTTATCAGTCTTTGCAAAAGGAGAGACTCGAGGCGAGGCTAAAACCAAAATAGCAAATCTACATTCCTGCGAGAAGCCTTACACGGCTCCACTGAAAGTGACAGCACAGGGGTGTACACTGCTTTTGTTTATAGACGGCGCGAGGATTCACCTCTTTTTAAGTACCTGTAGCTCGTCATTCTGCTCTTCATTTCTTTCTTTATCATAGTTTACAGGCTAAGGTGAATTACTTTAGGAAATGCATTATGCATCTATTTGCAAACTATAGGTTAATAGTTGAATATGGTATAGGTTTATTTTGCGGATGCATTCACTGTTTATATTTGAGTTTTAGTACGACTAAATTTGACATACATACATACATAGTGTTTAGTGCAAACATTCATTCTCTCTCTCTCTCTCTCTCTCTCTCTCTCTCTCTCTCTCTCTCTCTCTCTCTCTCTCTCTCTCTCTCTCTCTCTCTCTCTCTCTCTCTCTCTCTCTCTCTCTCTCTCGCGCTTTTTTTATATAGTCGTATCTGATCTGGTTGGTTAGTAATCCTTCAAACATGATAATGTTAACGTTCTCAGATTTCACCGTGTCTTAAAATCAAGTTTTTATCGATTCTGAGTAATATGTATGTGTCCAAATTTGTGCGTGAAGAGTTGCACTGTAGAGGAATAGATGTTGGTAGAGAGTGGTACTCCTCAGACTCAAGTAGTGAAGTTATTGTAATACTGTAGTTATGTATTAGATTGGAATATGAGAACTTAGTCCATGATGTCGGAAGTTTTTAATAAAGCATGTGGTGGGATTCATCTCATGACTGCGGTTTAAGATTGCTCTCAAGGCTTCGAGTCATCTAATTTCATGGGTTTAGTAATTGTGAGTGAGACCAAGAGCAGTGATTCTTAAGGGTAACTATGTCTGTATATTCACAGCTGCATTACCGGCATTTGGGCGTAATTCGTTGGCGTTGCGACCTTTTGCCTTTGTAATGTCTCCCCTATGTAAGTTATGGGGGCAGTTATTTCGTTTTCTATGTAAATACAAATGGATGTTTGTCGTCTACACCATATGGGCGTGGGTCCGTATTTAGGTTGATATTATAATGCAGGCCTTTGTCTCGCTCTCTTCCACCCCACTCTTCCGCTCTCCCCTTCCATCCTCCTGGCATTTCAGTCTTTCTGCCACCCCTGACAGAGGGGCCTGACAGCTGAGTGGCCAGCGCTTTGGATTCGTAGTCCTGAGGTTCCGGGTTCGATCCCCGGTGGAAGCGGAGACAAATGGGTAAAAAGTTTCTTTCACCCTGATGCCCCCTGTTACCGAGCAGTAAATAGGTACCTGGGAGTTAGGTAGCTGCTACGGGCTGCTTCCTGGGGGTGTGTAACTCAAAGGAGGCCTGGTCAAAGACCGGGCCGCGGAGACGCTAAGCCCGGAAATCATCTCAAGATAACCTTAAGATAACCCTTCCTCCAGCGTTGTGGTATCCTTGTCTGAAAACTGACAGTACTGCGCCTGTTTGAGTCAAGAAACACGAGGCTTAGGCCTTAGAGTATAATGAACATAATGTCTCTGCTTAGGTCTATCGAGTTTCTTTCGGGGTTATGGAAAGCCTGATACAGTACTTAAAAATTTGTTTTGCTCGTTATTCTTGAAATAATTGCATAGGGAAAGATACAGTTTTCTTTTTCATATCTTACTCATATTTTTTTGTAAAGAGCGTGGTAGTATAATATTTTAGATGAGGGCCAACATAATATATAGCCTGTGCCACACACTATGACTAGCGTTTGGCTTCACAGTGATGTAGAAAGATAGCAAGTTGAGAATAGATTTGATATAAGATGACATTTCGCCTGTTACACAAAAGTTGTCACTCCATTTAGGCGAGATGAGTCTCACCTCTTGCCAGGTGGGTCAGAGTTTGTTCCCGATGGAGCCAAAAGGTTGGGAACCATTGTGGAACCCGGTGGAACCATTGTGGAACCCGGTGGAACCATTGTGGAACCATTGTGGAACCCAGTGGAACCATTGTGGAACCCGGTGGAACCATTCCTTTACTCTGTAATCACATCAATTTCAAGTCAAGTTTAATCGCTTTTATCCCTCAGAATTACCTTGCTTACCTTGAGTAAAGTCTTGGTTAACTTACAACAAGTGTATTTGTAAACTGTTGCCAGCGCCGTCTTAAACCATAGGACCTCAGTTCAAATATTCCATACCTGGTTGATACCTGTACTTGATGGGGTTCTGGGAGTTCTTCTACTCCCCCCAAGCCCAGCCCGAGGCCAGGCTCGACTTGTGAGAGTTTGGTCCACTTTACAGCTTTAAATGATATTTACCTCGTGATTATCTTAATAATTTTGTGAATGTAAATACTAGCTAATTAAGCCCACTTGTCACGAAACTGTGGAAACAGTCATTAGTGGTATTTACAAATTAATGGTAAACATCCTCTTGTGAAAGTAAGGGGAGAGACAGCGGTTCACATAATGTAGGACTCTGCTGTATTTGTAAACTGTTTTGTTATAAGGTTGTAGTCGTAGTCTGTAGACTAAGTCTTTAGTCGTAGACTAAAAAATATTAGAAAGAAACACTTCACAGGTCTCGTCTGTGTTTGTACATCTGACCATTATATACCCTTAACTCTTGTATAACTGTCCATCCTATTATACCCCTTAACTCTTGTATAACTGTCCGTCCTATTTTACCCCTTAATTCTTGTATAACTGTCCATCCTCGCCCCTTAACTCAATTATAGAGCGAGACATTTCTGCGGCTGAACCAATTTTATCTTCTTTAAGGTACGTGCAATTTGCATGAAGATTCCCCCCACTGCAACGGCATTGAGAGGAAACTGATGATAATAAAAATGAATGCAATCATTTTTGTAATATTTGGCCTAGGCCAAATAGGCCAAATAGATGCTTTGTATGTGCTCTCATTGCAAGTTTTCATTTGGCGAAGAAGTGTAGATTATCCTTCAGTAACTTTAGTACAGACTTTGAGTGCTGGACCAGTAGCCATATTTCCTCAGGGAGCGGTTTCTCACACGCTCCTAATCACCTAAAGCGTTTTCTTGGAGGCATGAAGCCTCGTCCCTGATTTTTGCGAAAGCCGTCGAAAGTTCAGCGATTTCACCTTCCATGTGGAGCGATGTTAGAACAGCAATATTATAGGCGAGAAAGTTTTAAGTGGCTTTCAAAGACCATCGACTTGAGACTGGTCCAGGACGGACCGAAACGTCGTTGTCCCTTAATTTTTTTTAGTGTGGATTGGTCAACGGCTTTCAAAGACTGGCCACCTACGTTGGGATACACCTGATATTACCTATATTCCTTACGTTAGACCTCTATACGCAAACTGCTTATGACAATTTATCTAGACTTGGAGATTTGCTC